CAAGGAATTCTCCTGTCCTTCGTGATTTTACGTGGGACCGAACAGAAGCGACTAAGAACAATGAGGAGGAGGTCACAGTTTTGTTCTTTTCTGTTTGTTTATTTCGGGTGAGGAGAAATAAACACAAGAAACAGAAGAATGAGGACCAGTGAGGCAGTTACAAAACTAGAGCTGGCCAGACTGGAAGCAGCAGAGAAGGAAAAGGACCGCGAGTTTCAAATGTGGCAGGCAGAAATGAGGCTCAGAGAAGAGGAGGCTGCACACAGAAGGGCTATGGAAGAAAAAGAGAGAGAGAGAGAAACCCCCCGCTGGACCTGCTAGAGAAGCAGAACCAGAGGCCCCCGACCCCAACCACTCCCATCACTCCAAAAATCCACAAATGGGAACACTTATGTCCTGCATCCAGTGAAGAGGACGATATTGCTGAATATCTGACTACCTTTGAAAGCTGTGTGCAATACATGAAATCCCTGATGGTAAGAGAGTTCCTACCCTGATTGCGAAATTAACTGGTAAAGCTCGAAATGGATTCAATGGAATGCCTAGTGAAGATGCTTTAGGCGATTGTAAATTTTAAAATACTGTTTTGCGAAGTTTTCAGGTTACCCCTGAAACATATAGAATTCAATTTAGGACTCTTAAAAGGGCTATTGGGATGAGTCATGGGGGATAGGTAAACAAAATGAAAGATTTGTTGGGAAAACGGGGGAGGGGTAAAGAGGTGGCAAGTTTTGAAGGAACGCTTGATCTTGTTGCGCAAGAGCATTTCTAAGCATATGTAAGGCCGAAGTAAAGCCGTGTCTATGGGATAACAATGTCAAGTCAGGGGATGAGATGGCTTTTTGAGCTGATACCTTTGAACAGACTCAGGTGTCTATTGAGGGCAGGTCACAGAAAGGGGTTTAAAGCAGGTGGGAAGGGGAGATCCCATTTTCTCCCTAGCAAGAGGGAGGGAGGCTGGGAGGCTGGGTACTCACCTCCCCAGAACCATTCCTCTAACTCTCGTCCCAAATCTCCTGTAGAAGGAGAAGAGCCCAAAACATGCTATCAGTGTAATTCCACTGATCACCTGAGGAATAAATGCCCTGTGCTAGGAGGAAGCTCATGTTAGTTCTGCTGTCCTCGCCACAGAAACCCCCCAAGCAATTGAAACCTCTCATATTGGTTTTGTGAGATTAGCCTCTGCAGAGCCAGATATGGAGCATGTTAAGACTGTCCAAATTAATGGCAGGGAATTGGGGCAGAGAGATACAGGGGCCCAGATCTCTCTGGTTAAGCAGAGTGTGATCCCAAAGGCCTGTATGTTACCTGGCCAAATGGCAGAGCTTGTGGGGGTGGGCGAAAGCAGATTCCTCGTACCACTAGCTAAAATCCATGTGGGGTGGGAAGGTTTGGAAAGTGTTTTGACTGGGGGGGGGGCGGGTGATGGAACACCTCCTAGTCAACCTGCTCCTTGGGAATGATTTTTTCCATGTAGCTCAGGTTAAAGTATTTGCCTGCAGCAGGAGGGAGTTTTATGCTTGGACACCCGAGGGAAAGGGTCAGGTCTCAGGAACTGCTGAGAGAATGGGAGAGAGTCTCCTTCATTCTCCTGCAGTAGGGGGAAGCCACATGCTTCCAGGTGGGAGGGGGCTGAGACCAACTCCTGCACTGCAGCTGGAGGCAACGCCACCTCAGGAAGGGATGGGGGTGTAATGCCTGCCAGAGAGAGAACTGCCCAGGTTGTTAGCTACCAGCAAGCTGCAGGTGAACCAGACACAGACCCCTCTCTAGGGAGCACAGAGAAATGTGTCTTAGGAGGGGCCCCAGAGGAGGAAACTGGGGGAGGAATAGTGGGGGTACAGGAATGTCTCCTCACTGGTCAGTTGGGAGAGGATGCCCAGGACAGAAGGGCTGAGTCAGCATCTGTGCTCCCAGGCACTCAGCCCGTGAGCCAGGTTTTGAGAGGGAACTATGTGACCGACTTCCTGGAGGGGAGCAGTCACACAGCTGACTTCTCAGGGACAGAGAAAGGGGTGGCGGAGGGTACCCCAATCCAGGTCCTAGTTTTTCAGGATGCTATTTCTGAAAAGTTTTTGGAAAGTAACTGTGCCTCTTTACATCAAGATGCAGCTCCAATGCCTGTGACGGCAGAGGAGTTGAGACCAAGAAATTGCCAGGTGGGTGTTTGTGAGAACACAAATGACCCAACTGACAGAGAAGGGGGAGTTTCCCCCCACGCTGGTGAGACACAGAGAGAAGTTATGGGAAAGCTGCAGAGAAAAGGTGAATCTGATCGAAGAGTAAAGACACCTGCCCAGAGAGCACAGATCACAGCCCTCTAGTGGGCAGGGAAGGACTCAGTGCTGGGAGGGGGAAACACAAGGGAACCCCAAAAAGGGAGCTGGATTTTTTGCATATGTACAGTCCTGGGGTTGGGAGCCCGCTCCCCAAGGGCCCAGCCAATATGCAGGATCTCCCTAAACTCTTATCTTGCCCGACTCTGAGGTACTAAAATCCCAGACACATAAAGAAAATAAGAACCCCGGCAGAGCAGGACACTGGAGGGAAAGAAGAGCC